TGATTTCTTCTTCTTTTTTGTTTTTTTTTTGAGTCAGAGTCTCACTCTGTCACCTAGGCTGAAGTGCAGTGGCACACTCACAGCCAATACAGCCTCAACCTCCTGGGCTCAGGTGATCCTTCAGCTTCAGCCTTCCAAGTAGCTGGAACTACAGGTGTGCACCACCCAGCTGATTTTTTGATTTATTGTAGAGATGAGGTCTTGCCAAGTTGCCTAGGCTGGTCTTGAATGCCTGGATTCAGGCAATCCTCTCACCACTGCCTCCCAAAGTGCTGGGATTATAGGCATGAGCCACTGCATCCTGTTGCTTTTTTATTTCATCCTCTATGACTTTTTTTTTTTGAGTTGGACTCTCACTCCATCGCCCAGGCTGGAGTGTAGTGGCATGCATGCTCACGTCCACCCCAGCGTCAGTCTACTGGGCTCTGGTGATCCTTCTACCCCAGCCTTCCAAGTTGCTGGAACTACAGGTGTGCGCAGCCATGCCTGGCTATTTTTTGATTTATTGTAGAGACAAGATCTTGCCAATTTGCCTGGGCTGGTCTCGAATCCGCAGTCTCAGGCAATCCACTTGCCTCGGCCTCCCAAAGTGCTTGGATTACAGGCTGAGCCACCGAGCCCGGCCTCATCTCCTATGACTTTCACTCTGATTCAACTACATTGGTTTTCTTACTGTTCTTGGCATTCATGAGGCTTGTTCCTTCCTTAGGGTCTTTGGACTTGCTTTAAACTTTTCCTGCAACACTCGGCCCCCAGTTGGTGTTACAGATAGATGTTACATATTTTTCAAGTCTCAGCTCAAATGCCACCTCCTTAGTGAGCCCTTTCCTGGTCTCCCCACCCCTGACGTCCAATTACAGGACCTTACTTTATTTTCTTTAGCATGTTTATCCATATATGCCATGGTATTTTCCATTTTCTAATTTATTTGCTTATTTTCTTCACTCAAGAGTATGGTCCATGAGGGCAGATAATCTCATTCATATGATTTATCATGAGGGCTGGGGAATAGGCCATTGGAGTTGGAAATGAGGAGCTTGGTGGTGACCTCAGTATAGGGAGTCAGATCTCTTTGGTTGCAAGCAATGGAAACCAACTCTGGCTACTGTAAGCAGAGAAGGAATTTATGAAAGTGGCGTAGGACATGTGGTGGGCATCCATTCTCCCTTTCTAATAATACCCTTAAGTTAGCCAGGGTTGAATTTTACTGCTTGCAACCTACAGCACTAACTGATTTCGTTTAGCTCACAGAACTGAAGAGAAGGCTAACAGAACAGGGTTTGGAAAGGATGGTAAACAAAACAGAACTGAGGTCTTCCCAGGGTACCTCTGAGTGAGCTCCACACATGTTCAGATCTTTTCTCACTCTTTGCTCAGGATTAAAATTCTAGGAAGAGCATCTGATTGGCCACGTGACCTTGCTTTATTTTCTTTATAATGTTTATCCATATCTGCCTTCCATTTACTAATTTATTTGGTTATTTTCTTCATCCAAGAGTAAGGTCCATGAGGGTAGATAATCTCATTCATCTGACCTATCATGAGGGCTGAGAATAGGCCATTGGATTTGGAAATGAGTAGGTGTAGGGCAGACACTTTTGATTGACAATACCCCTTGCCCTACATGTCCTGGGTAAAGGGTCATTCTCTCAAAGCAAAATCAGATACTTCATCAGAAAAAGAACAAATGGATGCTAAGTGACAAAACAAAATAGTCAATACACCCAGAGAGGTTTTCATGGAGTGAAAGGAAGTTTGACTGGGTCCAATAGTCCAGGAGGAGAGGCCACATGGTATAGTTAAAGATACTGTTTGTTACTGGAAATTTCTCAAATCTTCACCATTAACTTGTTTATAGTCATTTTAGGATGGGTTTTTTTTTATAGCTGCCTAACGGCACCTCCCATTATAAACCTTTCCTTCCTTCCTTTCCTCCTTCTCTTCCTTGATAAATATTAATTTACACTTATAAGGTCATGTCCACATTTTTGGGTTTCTCATAATCTCCACCATTCCTTATTGTCTCACATGCATATCCCCCATTCATGGTATTCGCCTGGCCCAGGAGATTATTACTACCTCTGGAGTGGGCATATAGTAAATCAGTGAAAGGTAGTTTGTCTTTATTTAGCAATCTTTTAGATTAAGTATTATTACTCTCATTTTACAGACGAAAAAACTGAGATTCAGCCAAGCAAAGTGATGTGCTGGAGGAAACATTAACTGGTAAATCAGAAGGAAGACTCTTACAAATTACTCACGCTGTCCCAGTTATTTAAATATTGTACACACACACACACACACACACACCAACACTCACACAGATCTATTTGAGGTTAACATAAAAAGACAGCAGCCCTACTTAGCTCTATGTCATGGTCTTCAAAGTGTGGTCCCTTGATCAGTAGTATCGGCATCACCTGGAAACCTGTTAAAAATGCAAACTCTTGGGTCCCACTCTAGACCTACTGAATTTTATATATATATGTCTTAGCCTGGGGATGGGGATCTCAAAATCTATGTTTTAACAAGCCCTCAAGGTGATGTCTGTTTAATTTTGAGACCCACTGCTCTAGCCGATGGCTGCTATGTAAGACTGCAGGGTTGTGTTGCTAGGGTTGTTTAGCTTTTTCCAAGAGAAGCTAGGGATTTATTTTTATGTGAAATTTGCTACATTTAAATCTTGGCAACTATTTAAACTTTAAAAATGTACTGTGTGTGATATATTTGTATATACACACACACAACGGCATGTCTCCAGTCCATATATATATATGTCTTAGCCAGATTTGCAACCTCTGGTTTATGCTTTTCCCTTTAATTCTTATATAATCCTACAAGACAGCCATGATGATACCCATTTTATGAAGGCAGAACATGTAGGTCCAAAAAGTGAAATGCTGCTCTAAGTCACACAGCCAGATAGTGGCCAACCCCTGACTGGATCTGGGCACATTTGGTTCTAAAGTCTCTTCCCTTTTTACTTATGTAAAAGGAATATATATGACCACACATAGCACAGAGCCTGGCACCACAAAAGCTAAACATCTGACACCACTGATCAGTGACGCTTTCTTCTCCATCCTTCTACCCCACCCCACCACACTCCCTCAGCCTCATAGGAATCCACATTCCTGTAAGAGAGAGCCAATCAGCAGGGTGCCCATGAGGTTCTGGGAGGGGCAAACTGGGCAGTTTCCCGACCCAAGGAGCCGGAAGAAAGCAGTTGGCAGCAGTGCCTGGGGCTGATGCTGAGTAGCCAGCCGGGTCCACAGGCTAAAACCAGCCACTCACCGAAGTGTTTTCTTCGTGCCCTAGACTGGGTTTCAGGAGCCAGCTCAGAGCTGTGTCCCCACCTGGTTCCTGCCCTCTGTGCTGTTGACTGTTCCCTGAGCTCAAGTAAACAGCCCTGGCCCCTCCCAACAACGGCATGTCTCTAGTCCTCAGGCTGGCCAAGGGAAGCTGGGAAGGTCAGTCTCGGCTTCTTTTACCAGTATCTATCCTGGGGGTAGTAGCTGGATGTGTTCACATCACCAAACCCCACTCACCTGTCATCCTAGTGGTCACTGCCCCAGACCCCCTCTAACCTTCAGTGGTGAAGACCTCCTGAGGTTTTCAGAACCTCAGAAAAATGGAGCAGAAAGGATGGTTGAAAGCACTTCTTATCTAACTCTCTGAGTGACTGTTTTGGGACTTACTATGTTGGATTCTAAAGCTCGATGTATACTTACCGGTCTCCTTAGTCACAGTAGACGCTTACTTATGAAGCACTCACAGTGGTTCACCTACTACCTATCATGTGTCAGACCTGAAAGTCCTATGACAATCATTGTGAACCTACTGTGTACTCAGTGATCTCAATGAGTACACAGTTCTATGGCACGAACATTATAATCATGTTCTCACTGAAGTTTTATATAGGTACCATTTTTATAGGTAACAAAATGGCATCCGAGATCTGGGAAATGATTCATTCAAGGTCCCTCAAGTGGAAAGTCTGAAGGTGGGAGTGTAGCCCAGACACTGTCACCCCAAGACCAGCGCTGGAAGGCGCCTTTGATCACTTTCTCTTCACAAAGTGTCTTGCCCAAGTGACATATGTGTCATGTCATAGGCACCCAGTGGATACTTCTGATAGAATGGAAAAAATAAGGGATGGAAGGGAAAGAGACCTGGGTTCAAAACATTGTCTGTACAGCTTTGCATGAGACCTTCGGGTGGGGTGGGGTCCTAAACTTCTGAACATCCAACTCATTTGTCATACACAGCTGCTGCAGCCATAACTCTCAGGTTCGAGGTTCACTGGGAAGATTCTTTGACACAAGGAGCACAGAGCTGGGCACAGTCAGCCCTGATGAGTGCTGGTGTGCCAAACAGAGGGAGGAAGAAACACATACTCCAAATGGCTTGAGATTGACTTGGAGGTGTTTCACCTTCATGGGCCTGTTTCTTGTCAAATGGCTCATTTGTTAATAGCAACTGCTATTTCTGTAGCCCCTATCAGGTGTTCTATATCACTGCACTAGCCCTCAATCACTAATCCCTAAAGGGTGATCTTCACTCTGATGGGCTTACCCCCAATACAGTCTCTTAAGCCCCTTGCTGAACTGCCTTCCTGCCCACCTCAACCCCCGACCAGGGACCACCGGGGGAGACTGCAGAGTCTTGGAATGGGAATGCAGTATCCCCGGGCCTGGACCCTTGCTTGCCTGCTCGGCCCTTAAGCCCCAGAAGGGGAGGAGAGGGAAGGGGAGGGGAGGGGAGAGGGGGGACGAAGGGGGGAAGGAGTGGACAAGGGTCCGCTGCAGCTGGTCGAGTTGCTCCTGGCCTGGAAGCTGCTTAGGTTCCTGGTTCCCATCAGGGCCAAGCGTGACACCTGATCCTGGGGGATTGTGAAATGGCCTGAGGTGGCAGCCCG